GAGAAAAAATGTTGTAAGATTTATTAACTTTAATTTGTATATATTATTGATAATATATTAATATAAACTTGTTCTATTTTGCTGAATAATCAAATTTCATGAAATAAAATGTCGGAAACAATTTTTTTCAAAATGACAAATTAAACGTATATTTAGTAATCTTAAAATAGACCTCAAATTAAAAATTGAAGATGAACTCAAAACTGAAAATTGAAATATAAATCAAACAGACCATAAAATTCTTTAAAAAATTATCTCTCATGATTAATAATTTTATGGTCAACTCTTTTCACATCTTATTATGAATTATTATTATTATAAAATTTAAGGGCTTATTTTAGAATCAAAATATTTTGATGAAGCACTTTTTTCATCAGCGACTTAAGTTTTGGTCTTAAATTTTCTTCGTGTTCATTTCATCAACTCAAAAGATCCAAGCGAAATGTTCGACATTCATCTATCCGTATGCAATCTTCCCTTGCGAAGACTACCTTCTATGTTTTAGAATGACCATTCCTAGTAAAGGTGATGGAAGAAAGATAGGCATTGATTGCTCTTTGAAATCACCAATGTCCATGACTCCATTCATTCACCACAAAAGCAATACTTATTCTATTTCCGCACATGTAGAATTATTTCACGGTGGATCTTTTACTTTTAAATAGTTCAATATTTACATTTTCTAGATGCTTCATTATAGGTATTTTAGGTCGCACTGAAAAGTACTTTTATTTGAAAATTGGTTGAGAAAAAATGAAAAGAAGCAAGACTGTCTACTTTAGATAGCAATGTTGAATTAAAGAGTTGTTAATTTGTAGTCATCACGTTTATCATTCTTCATTAGTTTTTTTAATAATAATTCCAATTCAACTCCCATGACATTTTGCAAGTAGTCATCACGTGAAGCACCACAGTCACCCACACGAAATTAAAACCTTCATTCAATTATAGTATATGTGATTCTTCACCTTCCTTAGACAATATGCGATAACTTTTCGTTCTATACGTTCATCTTGCTATTTGTCCTTTTGAACCTCACGAACATTCTATTTTCTTCCCACTCATACAACCCTACATGTGCTTTCACCGCTCTTAAAAGCTATTGATTTTTGTCCCTACTTCAGCGACGCATTTTTTCCATTGACTTAAAAAGAATTGTACATCCATGGAAAAATCATTAGTGAATCGAGGCATAGAGAGACAATGCCACATAGGCAGAAGGTCAACAAGAAAGTCAAATAAAAACCCATAAGGTCAAAACACGAAGGAAGTAAACAAAGCCGAAGTCCTTACACTGCGAGGACGAAGTTCATGCTGAGGCACTACCTCAAAGACGAAGTTGCCTAGGGGAACAAGGAAAGGAGCTGAGGCTCTCCACTTAGGGAACTACTTCGAAGGTTCCTCCGAGACCCTTAAATTCGTCCGAAACTCGTAAGCTGTTGCTGTTCCTTGTAAAAGATTCGAAGATCTCTTTAAAGCGATTGATGTAACACTTGTAATAAAAGTTTGTCAGTATGTCAGCCTATTGTATAAAGTGGCTGACCCCTTATCAATATATTAATTGTATTAATAGAAGTGGTGTAATGTCCCAATTAAGGAGATGAGACCACGTGGTTCTGATCCAACGATCACCACGACGGTCAAAGTAGTATAAATAAGTCCTCTTTGTAACTTAATAGGGGGATGATTGGTTGGACAGTTGATTGACAAACAGACAATAGAACATATTCGAAACATATACTTATACTCGGAAGAGAAATATACAAACACTTGGGTTTATTTTTATGTCTTATTTATTGTATGTTTATGAGTTGTGATTTTCTATACACAACGTAGTAATTTCAATACACATCATGTATATATTTCTACATATTCCCGTTAGTAATTACATAGTTTTATTTGATTTCAATCGGGCAGTCGTTGTTAGCGCAATTGCTTTTGTTCCATCCGTCGGAGCTCAAACATTTTTGTTTCTTGCCGCAAAGTACTGCCCGCGTTCATCTCCTCTTTGCTAGGGTTGTCATCCCGGTAGAAATGCACCGAAATCGTACTTGACTTCACGTGAGTGGACTTTGCATCTGTTGACTCATTTTTAGGGTCAACATGAGTATCTTACTAAGTCAGTGGATATTCATTCAAATTCAAGAAAAAATAATTTTGAATACTTCTATATTTTGCAATGATTATTAACAAAGCTCAAGGACAAAATGTGCCTATTGTTGGATTATACCTTTATGAACATGTGTTCTCTTATGGGCAACCATGTATTACACTTTTTCGCGGAGTTTCAATGCAAACAACAAAAGTCTTGATAAAAGTAAAAAAATAAACAGAAGAAAGTTGTGGGACGTTAATAAAAAATATTACGTACAAAGAAATGTTATTGTAATTAAAACATCACATTTCAGTTTATTGAACCATTTCACATTATATACATAATTTCATAAAATATTTTATTAATATATAGCCCTTATTTGAGCTCCATTATTTGAAAAAAAATAGATTTTAGAATAGTGTTTTTTTGAAAAATGTGTGGTTAAAAAGTAAGAAATTTTTTTTGTTTGCGTGTGATATTATTTTATTTAGAAAATCTGTGATTGATAAGAGGAAATAAAAAAATGAATTAAAATTTAATGGGGCCAAACAAGGTCATATTCTTTTTACCAATTTTAACATTTTTTAACAATATCAATTATTTCAACTACTTTCAAAAACAGTATTAGTACTTCAAAAATATTATGTATCTCATTTATTCAATACATAAAACTTGCAACAAAAGTTTATTTTCTTATAATTTATCAGAATTGTCAGGTGTAGACACTTGGACAATAAAATTTTTCAAAAAACTTACTTAAAAAGAAAGTGCCTACACCTGGGTCTCTAGGTGCGTCAACCTTTCATTTTTTAGAATTTAAACGTATTCCTTGTTTTTTGTTGTTCCAGGATCTTTGGAACTCTATCTTACTAACAGTGGTTGATATGTGAATCTGTTCGAAACTTGAATGGAATTATTACTTAAGACATTAGTTTCAACTTATTCAAAAGTTGAATATTGGTATCTTGTATCCAATTGATCATGTATCTTTTCTAATTTTCATCCTTCTTGTATTGTATTACGTTGGGAGCCTTCTTGAGATCTTGAGGGGGGTAATAGAATGACACTATAGTTTGTGATACTGTGAAATATTTGTCAAGTTTGGGTGTCGTTAATTGTTAGAACTTGTGATACATGTCACCGAGGTGGATATTTGGAGTCATTATATTTGCTAACTTGTGCTTCATTGTTACTTGTGCACTTACTATCATGTGGAAGTGGAATGCTATGACACCAACACTTTCGTTTTTGCCAACCACTTTCTCAAAGAGAAACGGGGTTTACATATGACAATTAAAATAACTTTTGCACTTGTAGTTTTTAAAGTTTTCGGATAGTACAATAAGAAGGTGAATGGAAATTCTGCTATAGTTTTGCCCATTCAGTGTAAAGTCCTCACCTCTAAGTGTGTAAAATAACCAGTTATGTAATATAAATATACGTGTTTCTTATGTATGATTACATTGCGAAAATGTTTACATTAAAAAAAATAAAAAACACATTGTATCAAAATAATCATATTATTTTCAATATCAAGGGTTGCACACTCAGGAGGCGAGCATCGATACCCATGCTAAAACTTTTTAAGCCTCTGACCTTGTGAGAAATAGGTGATGATACCTGTAGCTCGACCAGGGGCGGACCCAGACTTTTTATGTTGGGGGGCACAATCAAGTTGTTCTCTACGCGTTCTCATATTTTGACAACATTTTATAATTAAAGTGAGAAATAGAGAA